AGTAAGAGCGACCCTAGAGTAAGAGCGACCCTAGAGTAAGAGCGACCCTACGGAAGGAAGGAGTATGAACATTTGAAGTTCTAGGAAATCTAGATGAATTACTAAGTACAAGAGCTAAAATCAATTCGACAAACACCGATGTTGAGTTTGGAGGTAACATAGCGAGAACAACTCACGAAAATGAACAGATGTAGCTTAGCTACGTTCGTTAGCCGGTCACTAGTGGGAAAATACCATCCCCAGCGCAGAAAATCTCCAAAAATCCTGGTCCCTGCGGCGTCGACAGCCTCGGGATGAATGATATCCTTCTATACGTCTTCATCACCCTCCTTTTTGGATTCACTGGATTGCTTGGCAGCAAGTTGTCCGTGGAATCTACACTTCTGGCGGTATCCAAACACCTGCTGCGAGGTCCAATAGAGGATTGGACCACCTATCAAGAGGAGCCAGCTGAAGGCCAGGCCCACCAGCACGGTCACAGAAAAGCCCCAGAAAGCATCCGCAATGCTCGCGGAATGCACGACCCAGGTGTGCCATGCAGGCTCGCTAGGCAAGGTCAGTACGACTTGCATGGCCGACAGCAACAGCGACACCGAGGCGAAGATGAACAGCAGGGCCGCTGCATATTGCTGCATGAATGAAGCCGTGTACCATTGTGTCTGGTGATAATGTCGGTTGTTGCCCACATCTTGCTTCCCACGAGGCCACAGGAAGCGGATGAGAATGTTGAGCCTGCTTAGGCGTAGCTGGCCAACATGGTATCGGACTGCGACTTCGTGGTCTTCTACCAGACGGAATAGGGCAATGAAACGCTCCCATCGCAACCAATCGACATCCTCTGGGACTAACCCTTTCTCTTTTGCGAGCTTGAGATCTGTACGGTGTCGAATGAGATAGCCGTACGATCTCAGGAACCCAAGCACGACCCGACGATCGAACTGCTCGGGCTGTCCGTTCAGGAACTGGATCCAGAAGTCGTGGTTGAGCAAGGCCGGCGGGATGGGCTTCACAAAAACATCGCTTTGGTACCACACCAGATGTAGCGCGGGGTCTTCGCAGGCAATGATCTTTCTCTGCTTGACGACATGTCTGTGCAGTGGATCGATACGCGAGCTGTCCATAGCCGTGCATACCCACAGCCACTTATACATTCGATCCAGTATTGGCGTTGCGAGTTCATCCTGGAGAAATTTCGTGACATCGCTGAGGGTCAATCGGACGTTCGGCTGGTCGGGTACGTGTTCTAACGGCGCGGCTGGCAAAGGTGCGGCGCCAGTGCTGGTATGCAAAGGTGGAGTGTCGAGAGCATCCGATGCAGCAAACGGTGGTTCGTAATGCATGGCGAACGAATTGTCCAGGTCAATTTCATCATGGTCAGAGCTGCCAGCTGGAGCTCTTTTTGTACTGCCGTCACTGCAGGCTGCACCGTGGCTGTACCGAATGGAAGCCTTGTCAGGCCCAGACCAGCGTGACCAGTTCTCAGCCGCCGTTGATGCAGCCAGTGCACCAACGGTACCGCCTCCATGGCAGAAGCTGAAAGACGCAATGCGCCATTCATGCACGACAAGTTGAAGTTCAAGCACGATTGTGGGACCAACAGATTGATTCAATTGATCAACTCTGGAAACTAACGAAGTGAGGGCGCGACTTGTGTGGCAGTGGCAAATGCCAAGCAACGCCTCGCCTGACCTTCCCATCCTCTATCGGGTTAGCGCAAGTGGGCAGCAGCGATGGGCCGGGCGCAGCCTCCCGCACTCCACATTCCGCAGTCTGCCTCCATCTCCTCTAACGTTTAACAGAGAGGCGAGATGGCTGTGTCGAGGTTTTGGTCTTCGAGGCATTCTCTGCCTCCAAACTACCAGCCCGCATATCATTACTCGCTACTCGGTACAAAGGACTCAATCAAACCATCGCCAAGGGTCGACTCCCATGGACTAAATGCAGACCCGTCCCAGAGCTAAACGCCCAGCGCTGAACCCTGCATGCGGCTTCCTGCATACCAGGTAGGTTATTGTACTATGTACCTCGTGCTTTCCAACGCCAAAGACTCGGTCAAACCTTGAACTCAGCCTGATGGTGCTCCAGCAAGATTTTCTTTCTCGCTGCTCCCCGCCTTCTGTATACAAGTACAAGATGGAGTTACTGTTTACAGACAGCTCTAACAAGTCGAAAATTTTGGCACGTTGGCCAAGTTCCCTTCCACACCCTTGCCAAGGTACTATGTAGTAAGTACACACTCTCTTTCCGCTTTCTTTCTTGACGTAGTCGCATCTCGAGCCTACCCAGGCCTACAAAATGGATACTTTGCAAGGATCAATGACGCTGTGGCATATGCAACCCAACATGACCGACGGTCGAGCTGTCGCCACATGCGCGCACGTAGGCTCTGCAGAGCCCGGGAGAGGAGTGTGTCAGGGTTTTCATTATCTTCAAAATTGGATACAAGATCACAGGTTCTCCAGTCTCCCATGATCGCCGTCACTTGCATCATCGGTCCCCAGCATCAGCCATCAGCTTCTCGAAAACACCTTGACAGCGCCGTCTCCACCACAGCTGATGACCCATCTCCCATCGGGGCTCCAGACAACCCCACAAACCCCTTCCCCTCTCATGATGCGATGACTCGATATCTCCTGTGTACAACTGCGTTTCTCGAGTGACCAAAACCGTAAACTTGCATCGTGACCGCCCGAAACCAATTCTTTGCCGTCCGGACTTAATGACAAGGAAGAAATCGCCGATGGATGGGCGAGCATGGTGTATGTGCATTGCCCTGATGCGAAAAAAGGTCAGTCTCGCTGGAGTTAGACGGGTGTGGAAAAGACAACGTACCGCTGTTTGCATCAAAGAAACGAATATACCGATCCTCATAACCAGCAATCACGACCCCTTCAACACCGCCTTCTGAACCTGTGGCTCCGTGTACCACGTCTTCTTCACCCATCGATCCTCGTCGGCCGGGTGCAACTGAATCCCTTGTATCGAAGCCCGCGCTGCTGGCGACGACTGCATTGATACCCGTGTTCGCTGTACCATCGTAGGTCTCCTGGCTGGCCATTCCGACAATTTCTTCACCCGTCCGCGTGTCAAACACCAGGACACTTGCGTCAGTATATCCTACAACAAAATTCTCGCCGTGAGCGCCCAACGGAGAAATCGATGTAGGCGCCGGTTTGTCTGCCCGTTCTATGCGATGCACTAAACTGTAGTTGAAAGGGGTCGTGCTGGCAATGCTCGGTTGAGGCGAGCTGGGGAAATTCGAGCCCGCGGATATCGAGTTCGCTCTTCGACTGCCCCTAGCCGATCGACTACCGCCTTGTGGCGAGCTCAGTTGCGGCGGGGTGCTGACAGCCCAGACCAGAATGGTGCCATCGGCGCCACCAGCCACGAGGAGGACACGATCCGGACCGCCAAACTGTGAACATCGATCTCCGAGAATGGCGCCTGTTGATCCCGGTAGACAACATAACGCCCAGACTGTATCTTTGTGGCCTTCCAAAGTGGCCTTTGCATCGACCCGGCCACGTTCCCAAACCTTGACCGTGGCATCTTCACCACCAGAGAAGATCCAGCCGTCTCCCACAGCCCGGCCACCGCTGGAGAAATTCGAGGAAGCCGGACACGCTGCTAACGAACAGACAGCTCCGATATGACCTCGGTGAGTGAAATGAGCAATCCTGTCCAAATCGTCCCCAAGAGAAACATTGTGACCATAAGACGCCGGAATGTGCCATCGCTTGACTCCACCATCATCGCTAGCCGTGCAAAATTCAGGCTCAGACGGGCTGCCACCGCCCGTGAAAATGACTGCGCGGACGACATCCAGATGACCTCTCATGGCAAACCGAACTTTGAATTGTGAGGCATCTGGTTTGACTGCTAAATCCCGCACATCATTGCTGCCTTCACTACGCCGTCGTGCTCCCGTGCTTTTTCGACGATAGGACCCTGGTGCTCGAGGCGGCGACTTGGAAGGAATCATGTTAGCGCTGGGGAAGACTTCGGTATCTGGCCTGTGTGGCGAAGCTCCTTCAGACGGCTTTTCGGATGGGGCTGGACCATCATCAAAATCCCATCCGTCCGCGATTTCTTGCTTGGCTTCGTCCATTGTTCGTATCTCTGTCTGGTCTTTCAGAGGAATCTCTTGCCCATAGGCGTCGAAACTGTGCGTTATCGCTTCCACTTCATCCTCGACCACCGGGATCTGTTCGTTGTAGAAATTCTTCCTTGGATCCACCACGGGGACAGATTGAATGGTATGTTCAGATAACCTTCTTTCACCTGTGCTGGGCTGTATTTCTGAAGTGTTGATCTGCGTGCCCGTCCGACTCAGAGGTGTGGGGTCGGCGAACTGTATTGGTTGTTGACCAGCATTTTCTCGGACCATCGCCACGTTCCGATGCTGCTGTTTCACTTGTTGTAACTGTAGATATGCTTCTTGAAGCTCTTGCTGCGTAGGTTGCCGCCCCTGGAAAACATGATTTCCGTTGGTCGAGGCCGCGAGTTCGTTGGCTTCAGGGGGTACATGGGCTGTAGGCAGGACGTGGTAGGTGATTTCCGAGGAACATTTAGAGAGGAAGCTTTTGGATTTGTCGCGTTCTTTCTCTTGTCGGATTCCTTGGGCCAAGTGGTTCTCGGGATCGATTTCGGCGTCGAAGTGGCTGATTCCTTTGACTTGTGAATCTGTGTCGTGTCAATGACGGTACACAAGACAGGCGCGAGACAACATACCCTTGCTGATAGCCTTTAACTCTTCCCTAGCTAGTTCTTTGGCCTCCTTGTGATTGTCGGCCATTTCACTTTTGCCGGCATTTCTGGCCTTCTCCCGCTCTTTTTTGAGGGCTGTTTCCAGCAGTTTAACATGTCGTTCCAGGGAAACCCGCATGCCTTTGCTCGTTCTCGTCTCGCCTTCCAGGATGGCTATTCTGTTCTTCATTTCTTCGCGCTCGATTTCCCAGGCATTTCTGTCTCGTTCATGTCGATGCCATTCTGTCTGTAAGAATCGCATCACACCTGGTCGCGGCTGTCAGCACTGTAACTAGGACTGTAGAGGGCACATTCGCACCTTGCAGAGTGTATGCTTGGACTCCGTTCGCTTCTCCGCCGGCCATTCCTCCTACGCCACCGCCTCCAGCCCCGGCCTGCCACGCCATTATGCGCTTTCTGGCGCTCGAATGCTTGTGCCTCTCTCATCTAGCCATGTCGATTGACTTGTGAGATTCAAGAAAGGTCACGCTGTCTTCAGTCGAGATGATTCAGTCGATGCGGAGAACTTATGTGGTGGTAAAGGGGACGAGGAATCTGTAATGCAGCCGCTAAGGCACGAGGACGAGGGTAGAATCGGCAGGAAGGGAAAACAGTGGATGGTTGACAGAGTGAAGCACAGTCGACTGGATGATTCAGGTTGTCTCCTGGTGGACACTGGGTAGAAGCGCGAGCAGCAGTTGCAGCAACTTGCCTCCCCGGGTTTGGGAGCGGCTCGCGGCTTGCGACCAGCCCGGGGCGTTCTAGCGCCAACGCGGCGGTTGAACTGCAACTAAAGATCCTTCCACCTATCATCGCCTGCTCTCGGGTGCTCACAAAGTCTCCCAAATACCACACGGCTTACGACTCCCTTTGCTCGATTTTCTGGGAATAGACTCTCCTGAAGAGGAGATTTGGTTCTAGAGTGCTACTGTACAGCATCTTGAGCGTTGAACGGCACGTAAATCACCTCATTGCACGTTTCTCATGATCTCTTTCATTCATTCTTCGGGGGGTATCATCTTCACTATTATCTTACAGCTCCAGTTCTTCGACCTCCAGCCCACATGTTATACACGTCTTGACAGGAAATCCAGTCTCTGGATTGTCAATCGGTCGCCCGAATTCGTGGACGTGCTTGCCACCGCTCATGTCGTCTCCAAAGTTTCCTGCGGGACCGCCTTTCTTGCTCCTCTGATACGCCTCAACTCTTGTCCTCTTCTTCAAGTCTGCCAGCTTCGATTTGAACTTGTTCTCTTTCCTTTTCTTCTTCTCCGTCTCCCTTTTTTCGAACTCCGCATCCAGAGCTTCTGCGGAGCCCCATCTCTTCTCCGAGAACGCGTATTCCTCCACTTGACAGCGCAGATACAGGAACATATTGTGCCATGTAGATTTGTGTGGGTTAGGTCTTTCGAGGTGTGGGAGAAGGTTTTCGTCTTTCAGCTCTGGATCTGTAAGGAGATAATCCTCTTTCGCCTCCGTTTTGGTAAGCAGGCTGTATTTTTCCGGGAACTTGTCCTTGCAAGCGCTGCATACTGCAACGTTGAAGACATCAAGCCATTTCCAGTCCACCTCCAGAGTCCCACATTCTCGACACGACTTTGTAGTTTGGTCAGTGATTACGCTGATGCCTGGTTCGAAAGGTCCGGCCTGTCGATTGCGTAACGATTTGAGCAGTTGCTGTCTTTCCCATTCCTTCTGCGTCATATGTGAGGGCTTTTGATCCTTTTCATCGGCGTGCATCGCCTTATTGTAGGGATCGTCTTCTGCAGTCAAGAACCCACCCTTTGTATCTGCCATCTTACTGAAATCATAGTCGACGTACTTCGCAAAGTTGCGCGCCGGCTGGATGGCCTCGAGAGGACGATTGTTGACGTCGTTTCGGGCATCGCGACTTGTAGGAGGTACGGAAGTCTGGGAGAAGGCGGCATATGAGCGCTTCTGGCCTGCTGTGGTGGTGTCGGAGCCCTTGAGGCTTGCTGTGGCTGCAACCTCTGCCTCTCGTTGTTCACGCAACGCTTTGGCTTTAAGGCGGTTGATCTCGAGCCGCCTGACTTGTTCTGGCGTCAGCGGGGACTTGGACTCGGCCGCAGCCTGAGGCGTCGGAGTCGAGGGTCGCGAAGCCATGACCGCGAAAAGGATGAGAAGTGAAGAGCAGATTGTAGTAAGGAGAGGGATGGATGGCGAATGATAAAATGACTGCGACTCACTTGCGGCCCGCGGGGAGGCTGCGATGCCTGTTCCTGGCGAGCCACAACTTGGCGGCGCCACTCGGTGAAGCAGTCTCCGTTCTTGTCAGGAACCGTTTCTCCAAAAAGTTCTTTGTTCCCCTCCTCCCACCGCCTGTCAGTCAACAGGAAATCCAAGTCGATCTCTCAAACATGGCGACCAAGATAACGCGGGCAGAGTTCGAGAAGGTCTTTCCGTCACTGGTCGAGGACTTGCTGGCAGAATGTCGCAAGTTCAATCTCCCTGCCAATGCTCTGCAATGGTTCGAAAAGGTACCGCCTACTGGGAATTCCTCGCATTGGCTCTACACAAGCTAATTCCTTTTACAAGTCTCTCAATGCGAACACACCCACGGGGAAGCTGAATAGGGGCATGTCAGTACCAGATACTGCCTCTCAGCTGCTGGGGCGGTCTCTGTCACCTCAAGAATTCAAAGACCTTGCGACCCTGGGATGGCTCACCGAGTTGCTACAAGCCTTCTTCCTCGTCAGCGACGACATCATGGATGCAAGCATAACCCGTCGAGGGGAACCGTGCTGGTATCGCCACCCGGGCGTGGGGATGATTGCCATCAACGACGCCTTCATGCTCGAATCCTCCATCTACCTCATTCTGAAGAAACATTTCCGCAGCCACGCCGCCTACATTGATTTGGTTGAACTCTTCCACGAAGTCACCTGGCAGACGGAACTAGGGCAGTTGTGCGACCTGATCACCGCGCCAGAAGACCACGTCGACTTGGACAACTTCTCCATGTCCAAGTACACCTTCATCGTCATCTACAAAACCGCGTACTACTCCTTCTACCTCCCAGTGGCGTTAGCCCTGCACTACCTTGGCCTCGCTACACCCAAGAACCTCAAACAAGCCCACGACATTCTCATCCCGCTAGGCGAGTACTTCCAGATTCAAGACGACTATCTCGACGCGTTTGGCGATCCCTCGGTGATCGGCAAGATTGGAACAGACATCAAGGATAACAAGTGCGGGTGGTTGATCAATCAGGCGCTGCAGATATGCACGCCAGAGCAAAGAAAGCTGCTAAACGAGAATTACGGACAGAAGGATGATGCAAAGGAGGCCAAGGTGAAGCAATTATACAACGAGCTGCAACTGGAGAAGAGATATCAGGACTACGAGGAGAAGCGTGTTGGAGAGCTGCGGGGGATGATCGCAGCCGTGGACGAGAGCGAGGGATTGAAGAAAGGTGTGTTTGATGCATACTTGGCAAAGATATACAAGAGGAGCAAGTGATTCCGGTGTGGATTCCTGGTTGACGAGCTTCCATGATAGACTGGGCTTCTCGAGAAAGGGACACCTCTCGGCATGAGGAGATTTATAATTGTCTTGCTGCATCAAGGACCTGTCCACACTTCGTGCTGCATTGCTCGGAAAGACATGCCTCCATCCCACATTGCACCTTCACTGGCAGGAAAGTAACCTCTTTCACACCGCTCATACTGCACTTTCGGCCTCGTGCGATAGAACTCGTCGAATCGCGAATCCAATGCGTCTCGGAGGCTGTGCACACCGCCGGCCGGGTGAAGGGCCGACCATGGAAAGCGGCACTCGTCCATTTTGCAGGTTTTGAGTACCAAGAGAAGAGCATCGAGGCGCGATATGAGGTGCGATACTGTGGTGGTGACGTTGTCTCTCGCAGGGATTGGTTCTGACATGCTTGTGAGCGGCGAAGCGTAGAGCGACGGTTCATTTAATCCTCCCACGGCGGGCACGGCAGTCATATTGAAAGGTCTGGTTCCTGCACCGTAGATATTGTCCATCTGCCAGGGATCCTTGGCCATGTCGTACAGCTCGTGCTCGTTGCTGCACCAAACAGTATACAACAGATCATAGCCATCACCAATGACCCGAAGTGCCTTGTAGGTATGATTGGGATAAAGGACGTAGCCGTATTTCCCTTCCGACATGATGATCCCCCACATTTCGACGTTGACGTGTTCTTGTGGCCATGGTTCTTGTTTCGAATGCACCAAGTCCAACGAGTGGAGCGGTATCGTACTGCCATCCAATTCGTACTTTGCCATTTCACTTTCTGCCACACCTGCGAGGGTTAGAAATGTGGGTGCCAGGTCGATGTGCGACGTGACGATTTCGGTGCGATGGTCCTTTGGAACACCGGGTCCTCGCACGAGAAGAGGAATGTTTATGTCTTCTTCGAATGCACATTGCTTTCCAGGCTGCCTTCGATGCTGTCCGATGCTATAACCATTGTCAGTCGAGAAGAAAAGATAGGTATTCTCCAACATATCAGCTTGCTCCAAGCGGTGCACGACGCCATCAATCATTTCATCAACAGCTTGCAGGGCTCGAAGGCGGTTGCGGTACCACTCGTCATTGTAATCGAGGTTTGACTGGTTCTGCTTGGCCAAGGTGAGGATCCAGGAAGCACCACTCGACACATCGGGATTGAAATTGGGTGTCCGCGCGACTTTTGCGTCTTGGAAGAGGTGTCTGTGGCGTTCGGCAGGCCGAGCCATCGATTGCTCTGCCATGTCATTATTGATATGTACGTTGCTGTGGGGAGCTGTCGGTGCAATGGTGAGAAAGAACGGCTTGCGTCCCTCTAATGCGTCACTGAGAAATCCCAACGCCTTCTCCGCCACGACATCCGTCGAGTGTTGGCCTTGATAGCTGACAGGAGGTTCCTTATTCCTTTGAAAGGTGGCATTGTAATACTCATACGTGTATGGGTCAAGGAGGAAATCGGAACCAGTCCATCCTGCCGCATGGGGCTTGTCGTAGTTGGATGTGCTCTGGGCATTGAATAGCTTGCCCACGTAGTAAGTATCGTATCCCGCTTTCTGGAGCCAAATAGGCAAGTATGCATCGTTGAAACCCTGACTGACAAACTTTGGATATCCACCTGCTTTCCGTGAGTCTCATGCGCGACGTCAAGACAGAAGATAGGGCAGCATTAACCCCAGGGAGGATGCAAGTCGGTGACATTGGTATTATGCGCAGCCTTGCCAGTCCACATGCTTACTCTGGAAGGACAACACAAGGCTACCGTGCAGTAATGTCTCCGGAAAGAAGTCCCATGGTCACCCATGTGCTGCTTTAGAAAGGGCATATACGAGAGCGAGTTCATATGGAGGTCTTGGTCATCGGTCAAGATGAAGATGATGCTCGGCTTTTTGGCAGACTGCCCGATGGGTTTCTGTTCCAAGCCGTTGGCGAGCCCTAAGCACCACGCCAACACGAAGCACCAGGTCAGTATCCATCGAAAGCCATCTCTCGAGCCCATGATGCTGGCTGTTCGCGAGCGAGAGGATTGCTGTCGAGGTAGACGACTCAACGTCTCGACCCAATCGAACGATCGCTCCAATCCTCCGAGATGTGGTTGTAAGCATCAAAACCGAAGACCTTTCGGCGGAGATGCAGCCGAGAGACTGAGGTATCTGATTGGAGCCTTGGGGCGATCGGTCAGCATGGCAACAGGACCATTTCACAAATTTTACCAAGGTGTTTGAGGAAGAATGGGCATGTGGGCATCAAAGACAGAGGAGGCGAGACAGAATGCGGGGGCAGAAGCTCCTGCAGATGCTTGGGGGAAGCAGTTTTGTTCAATCAGAGGCGGCGTTCAGGGAGAAGAGTGGATTGGGGGGCTCGCAGTGGGCTTACCGTGGGTGCCCCCAGCTGTGGCCAGGGAAGTGACTGGCACCGACTGGCAATCCTGGGGGGAAGCTGTCCGCCTAAGAATGAGCTACCTAGGCCCAAATGGGGAGGCCGTAACCCTAAATGACGTGCAACGTCGTGCCAACCCGTCATTGTGCATTTCGCAGGTGCGGTCGCTGTGCCAGAGAGCTTCCAATCCACCGTGCCACCGCCCAAAAGTTACCGAGCACAGTCGTATGATTTACCTCGATGCCGTCACTTTTCTACGATCAACCCATCTCAAGGAGCGACAGCGAGCATACCTTCCATCGACCCTTTGCTGTCTTCGCATTAAAATTTCTGCCTCTGCTGTCACCTATCATAGACTCTGCAGAAAGCGCTGCTGTTGCTGGAATTTCATTTCAATAATCCACGCCGCACAGAGCTTGACCTTTTGCTTCCTTGCTTCGCAGTGGAGCTTCCCTCCCACGTCCGCGCCCGGCATCCACCCCAGAGATCGCTTGCTGTGCGGTGCCATCGCCCCCAGCCTGCCTCAATTTCTTTTCGACAGTTGCCCTCGTAACGCTATTCAAGGATTGCCGTCCTTTTGCATCTCTTCTTGCCAGCGGGAACTGTTTCGTCGAGCTTCCCATTAGAGCTTCGCGAACCCCTCACCTTCGAATTTCGACCTCACACCACCCGATTGTCGAGCTGTGAATCCTCCCTGCAAGCTTCCGCTGGCTGTGGGGTAAGCTCTTCTCTGCAGGTTCTGCCCAGTTGACCAACGTCGCGTACCTCGTCCTGCAAATCAAAGCTCACGAGATCAGACCGGCAAAATGAACGGCGAAACAGAAAAGAAGAGGGATATAAAGAACCATCTGCTCTTTGAAGTTGCAACGGAGGTTGCTAATCGAGGTACTTACCGACCGATCTGTGGTATGATGCATGTGCTAATCCAGACCAGTGGGTGGCATCTACTCAGTGCTCAAGTCCAAAGCTCCTGTGACAACCGCAGAATATGGCGACAGGTATACGCTCATCGGCCCTCTCAACAAAAACTCGGTACGTCGCGATGGACCTCAAATGCAAGCACCGACTGACAATCCCAGGCCGCAGTTGAGGTAGAAACCCTGGATCCGCCACCGGGCCCCCTTCGAGATACCATTTCATCGATGCAAGAACGTGGCATTGAGCTCATGTACGGCCGCTGGCTGATCGAAGGCGCCCCAAGGGTGCTCCTTATCAATACTGGAACTGGTTACCGATGGCTGGATGAATGGAAGGGTGATCTATGGGCTGCAGCTGGAATCCCTTCACCTGCCAGCGATCATGAAACAAACGAAGCCATTGTATTTGGATATTTGGTGGCGTGGTTCCTAGGCGAAGTAAGTGCTTGCAATGACACCAGCCAAACGTCAGCGCTGACGGGCATCTAGTTTATCGCTCGCGAGACCGATCGCGCAGTCATTGCCCACTTCCACGAATGGCTTTCTGGAGTCGCTCTGCCTTTGACCAAGAAGCGTCAGATGGACTTGACAACCATCTTCACAACACATGCAACCCTCCTCGGTCGATACCTCTGCGCTGGCTCTGTCGACTTCTACAACAATCTGCAATACTTCGATGTGGATGCTGAGGCGGGAAAACGTGGAATTTACCACCGTTACTGTATCGAACGAGCATCAGCACACTCTGCCGACGTCTTCACAACTGTTTCCCACATCACCGCCTTCGAGAGTGAGCATCTGCTGAAGCGAAAACCTGACGGAGTTCTCCCCAATGGTCTGAATGTTAAGAAATTCTCCGCTGTTCATGAATTCCAAAATCTTCACTCGGTACAGAAGGAAAAGATCCATGAATTCGTAAGGGGCCACTTTTATGGCCGTTTGGACTTTGACCTGGACAACACACTCTACTACTTCACTGCGGGCCGATATGAATACCGAAACAAGGGTGTGGATATGTTCATTGAGTCGTTGGCGAGACTGAACTATCGTATGCAGAGCTCGGGCTCCAAGACAACAATTGTCGCATTCTTGATCATGCCTGCGCAGACAACATCCCTGTCGGTCGATTCACTCAAGGGCCAAGCCGTGACAAAGTCTCTGGCCGACACTGTTTCTAACATCCAGCATGGTATTGGTCGGAGGCTGTTCGAAAGGGCTGTGCACTGGAAGGAGGGAGATCCAATGCCGGACGACAAGGAGCTCATCACTCCAGCCGATCGGGTTATGCTTAGACGGCGACTCTTTGCCATGAAACGCCACGGTCTTCCGCCCATTGTCACCCACAATATGGTTAATGATTCCGAGGATCCAGTTCTCAACCAACTGCGTCGCGTTCAACTCTTCAACAACACCAATGATCGTGTCAAAGTCATCTTCCATCCCGAGTTCTTGAACTCTGCAAACCCAGTTTTGTCCCTGGATTACGATGACTTTGTGCGAGGTACTCACCTCGGCGTCTTTGCTTCCTATTATGAGCCCTGGGGATATACGCCCGTACGCATTACCTAAAACCCCCGCGAGTGATCGACGCTAACTGTTCAACAGGCTGAATGTACAGTCATGGGTGTGCCGTCAATTACCACTAACCTCTCCGGCTTCGGCTGTTATATGGAGGTAAGTGCCCAAGGAAACGCAGCAGGAGCATCATTGCGGAAATCACCCACGCCAAGATCTCTCTGCCCTGCATGACGGGAATAGTGGCTAATATCTGATTCAGGAGCTCATCGAGAACTCCTCGGACTACGGGATCTACATTGTGGATCGTCGTACTAAGGGTGTGGACGAATCAGTCAATCAATTGACCGACTATATGTACGAATTCGCCAACAAATCCCGGAGACAACGGATCAATCAGCGAAATCGCACCGAGCGACTTAGCGATCTTCTGGACTGGAAGCGTATGGGCATGGAATATGTCAAGGCTCGACAGCTTGCCTTGCGCCGCGCGTATCCTGCTTCCTTCACGGATGCTGATGAGTTCGACGATATCATTGGCGGTACCGAACAGAAGATCTCTAGACCATTGTCGGTGCCTGGATCGCCTCGAGATCGAACTGGTATGATGACGCCAGGTGACTTTGCTTCGTTGCAAGAGGGCAAAGAGGGTCTAAGCACGGAAGATTACATTGCATGGAGATTGCCGTGAGTTGCCGTTCCGGTTCGTCTTGGAACACTGACTGACCGATGTCATAGTGAGGAAGAGGAACCGGATGACTACCCGTTCCCACTGACGCTGAAGATGAAGAAGGGCTCCGGCCCCAACTCTCCGGCACCGCTCGTGGGACCTGTAAACGGCCAGTAACCGACTCACCTGAGGACGAGCATACAGATGAAGGGTTGGATACCCAGTCCGATTGAGGATAGCACAAGATGTCAGACGGAGCGGAAGAAGGGGAGCATCATCCTTTGACATAAGGCCTGGAGGACAGGCGAAAAGCAAAAAGAACAGAGAAGTCGTCGATAATTTGAGACCAGGGTCATTTGCATTATTCTGGGAAAAGCGTTTGTCAGATTGTCGGTCTAAGGAGTGACGACCGTCTACTGTCATCATATGCGGTTATTGCCTGCCTCTCTACAATTCTCATCCAGCACTGGCATACTCCATCTTCCTCATAGCAGCCAATCGATCAATCGATCAAACCATCCGATCACCGGTCCTCCTTGCATCTATCCGTCCAGTCTTTCATCCTGCTGTCCACTCATTCAGTCATCCATCCGGCTGTCCATCCATTCATTCAGTCATCCATTCTGCTGTCCATCCATTCAGCCATCCATCCTGCTGTCCATCCATCCAGTCATCTATCCTGCTGTCCATCTGTCCATCCATCCAG